CCAGCATCGGCCTGGAAACAGGAATTAAGCTGATAAACAAGACGCAGAAACCATTTTGTGAATTATTGTTTTCATGAAATCTATTCATGGTGAATCCCAACAGCCCCTCAAACACATCAGAATCAACTCTGGATGAGTTAAAAGGCTTTTTCACTTTGCAAGTCTTTCTAAAACAGGAGAGTTATTTCAGCACCATGGAGAGGGACCGAGTGGATGATGGAGAGGCTGGGGTGGATGTTTCAGCACCACGGACAGCGACACAGAGGACACGCTTGCTGTATCTCCGAACAGCCTTCGATTTATCACAAAGTCTCCTTTTGTTTCATTTTCTCACCTTTACACAGACATAAACTGAGATTCACATATACACACATCCGCCCTCATAACAAACAGCCATTCCAGCCTTTCCACATCCCAACTTATTCAACGTTCAACCCACAGTTAAAGTCTCCTATGTTGGCATTAAAGCAAACAGAGCATTTAACCATATAGAAGGCTGATACTGGAGGGTGATGAGATACCTATAGAATAAATAATGTAAACTGTCAGTCATCGATTTACCCTGTCAACATTATCTGATATGTATTCCTCATATAGCCAAATTCAGTGTAACAGATGAACCTATCAGGCAGCTCTCGGTAGCAGTATTGTTGTTACCTGTTCTGCGATGTAGAAGGTCTTGCTATTGGTCTTCTGATGGAGCCACATGCAGCGGAACATCTCTCCAATAATGGGATTGTAGGGCTTCTTCAACCCCTGTGAATTCAAAAGCACCATAAAACATGATTTTAGGGTCATGTACATACAAAACATGTGACCAACAGCTGACGCAGAAGAGCTATGCTGACCTTTGGCTTTTTGTAAAATCCAGAGATGTACCACTTTACCACCTTCTTCATCCGATTATAGGCATTCTCTTCAATTGCAGCCCTGAGAATGAAGCAAAAGCTTAAACTGATGCTCCTCCATCACACAAACACTTTTCTCTCTTTCGAAAGTCAAAGCCAGGCCAACTTGTTTACAGTCTGATGCCACTATCTGCAGGCTGAAGTCATAAGGAATTAATATTAGCAAAATGTCAACACAT